AGTATCATACAGAATAGATTCACTGCCTTAAAGATCCACTGTACTCCACCTATTAATCCCTCCCCTTTTCTAATCCCTGGTACCCACTAATCTGTTCATTGCTCCTTTTTTTGTTGTTGTTGTTTTTATTTGACAGGTAGAGTTATAGACAGTGAGAGAGAGAGACAGAGAGACAGGTCTTCCTTCCATTGGTTCACCCCCTAAATGGCCGCTATGGCCAGTGCTACACCAATCCAAAGCCAGGAGCCAGGTGCTTCTTCCTGGTCTCCCATGCGGGTGCAGGGACCCAAGCACTTGGGCCATCCTCCACTGCCCTCCTAGGCCATAGCAGAGAGCTGGACTGGAAGAGGGGCAACCGGGACTAGATCCCAGCACCCATATGGGATGCCAGCGCCGCAGGCAGAGGATTAACCAAGTGAGCCACGGTACCGGCCCGTACTGCTCCTTTTTAAAACACTTAAAAAAAGTAAGCTTGCCTTTAGTGAGTTGAAAATATATTTATTCCCCTCATCATTTATCCTTTATTGCTACAATCTTTTCCTTTTATTCATGAACTTATTATACCTAATTTCCATGACTAAATAAATATATAGGCCGGCGCCGCGGCTCACTAGGCTAATCCTCCAACTTGCAGCGCTGGCACACTGGGTTCTAGTCCCGGTCAGGGTTCTGGATTCTGTCCCGGTTGCCCCTCTTCCAGGCCAGCCCTCTGCTGTGGCCAGGGAGTGCAGTGGAGGATGGCCCAAGTCCTTGGGCCCTGCACCCCATGGGAGACCAGGAGAAGTACCTGGCTCCTGCCATCAGATCAGCGCGGTGCACCGGCTGCAGCGCGCTGGCCGCGGCGGCCATTGGAGGGTGAACCAAGGGCAAAGGAAGACCTTTCTCTCTGTTTCTCTCTCTCACTGTCCACTCTGCCTGTCAAAAATCAATCAATAAATAAATAAATAAATAGGGGTGAGCATCAGACCTATTTCAGAGAACACAGATTTGCTGGCCATTTCCATCTCCTGTTTCCACTTCCTGCTAATGCAGACAATAGGAAGCAATAGGTGATGGCTGAAGTAGTTGGGCCCCTGCCACTCACATGGGAGTCCTGGACTGAGTTTTCAGCTCCTCGCTTCTGTCTGGCCCAATCCCAGCTTATGTGGGCATTTGGGGAGTGAGCCAAAGATGGAAACTCTGTCTCTTTGCCTGTCATATTAAAAAAAAAATCCCACAAAGGGAAGAAAAATTGAGCATTTGAAAAATAAGATGGTATAAATTGTATGATTTCTTCAGATACTTTTTATACCAATTGCTATCCATGTCTTGTTTATGGGGTGCAATTTGGTCGTGTTATTAGGTAATTTTGGTAAAATGTACACATTATGGATATATGATGAAGGGCTAGTGTTTAAGTACAACAAATATATGTGCATTTGAATTACATGGCCTTAAAGTGATGATTTCTGTAGTTTAGTATTAATTGCTAAAACACAATTTTTCCTATAAAGGTAGAAATGATAATATCCCTACATTCAAGGAAGAAATTACTTTTCAGCGTTATATAATTTAATTGGATTTGTTTTTAATAATGACTGATATGAACAGGTTAATTTGAAATATTAAGAAGCAGTGATTTCCTTAAAGAATTCACTAAAATTAGTTTTACTTCACAAATTATTTTGCTGTACTATATTGCTTGCCTGAGGGTCATTTGGGCTGAGGATCACACAGGCTGTAGGGTATAAAATAGAACAGGAAGAAATAATATCATCTAAAATAGATGAAAAATTTACATGCAAAAACCTGCTATGACATAAAAGAAATTTTATATTCAAAAACTTGTTACTGACACATTTTTTTTCCAAATATCTTCTGCTTTTCATGTACTTCAAGGCAATTTAAAATTCAATGTCCTGAAACTTATGGAGTTTAGTTAATAATCTAATAAAAGAAGTAATAGATTTACCAGCTGACAACACCTTTAAGTTGACTTGATTCATTACAATGAATTTCCTTTTTGCTGAGTTTTTAGGAATGATTATTACTAAGTGTGGTTTTGACATACATATTTCAGTTAATTTAGCTATAAGTTTGAATGGTATTTTGTTGCAGCGGGCTAAACAGCTGCTTGCAACATGGGAATCCAATGTCAGAGTGCCGGTTCTGTTCCTGGCCCCTCCACTTTGGCTCCAGCTTCCTGTTAATATGCCTGGGAAAACAGTTGATGATGGCCCAAGTGCCTGAGTCCCTGTCAGCCACATATAGAATGAAATTAGACTATCTCACATCAGATTTTGAAAATCAACTCAAAATGGATCAGGATATAAGATATGAAATCTAAAACTGACAGAACAAAACAAAGAGGGAAAGCTTTATAACACTGGTCTAGGCAGTGATTTTTTGGATATGACCTCATTGTTCAAGGTGAAACTGCTGGGGCTAAGTGTTGTGGCACATCGAGTTAAGCTGCTGCCTACAGTGCTAGCATCTCATATGAGCACTGATGTTGAGTCCCAGCTACTCCATTTTTGATTCAGTTCCCTACTAATATGCCTAGGAAAGCACCTATTTAAAATCCTATTTATAGCTAAAATAATTATTAGCAATATCAGGACTATCCTCTTAGGTTAGGGCTTTCTTACTGCAAGAATTTTCTTCAAAATATTTATAAATTAATATAAATTTCTTTAGCAAAATATGTGACAAACTCTAAATAAAAATGTTCTTTGTTCATTAATTTTGCACTTGATAAGTTTTTTTTTATGTAAAAGGCACACACACACACACACACATACAGAGAATGAGAGAGAGAAAGAGAGAGAGAGAGAGAGAATCTCCTATCCACCATTACACTTCCCAAGTGCTTGCAACAGCTGGGGTTGGTTCAAGCTGAATCCAGAAGTCCTGGACTCAGGCCAGGTCTATCACATGGGTGGCAGGGACACAAGCACGTCAGCCATTAACAGCCTCTCAGTGTGACAATAGCAGGAGGCTGGAATTTAGAGTGGAGCCTGGACTTGAACCAAGGTACTCTGATATGGAATATGGGCATCACAAGCTGCATATGAAATGCTGTCTCAAAGCCTGCCCCCATTTTGCATGTGATAAATATTTATTGAACATTTTTCTAATAGGCATTGATCCCCATACATTGGTAAATGATGCAGATATGGCTTCTCCATGTAGGCATTTTATCACAATGGTAGAGAATGCTGTGTGACCGTTAGTGGTCTACCTTCATGGAATGGCTATTAAAACATCCCTAGAAATAGAATAGGCAAGAATATCTAGCTTAGTTCCATGAATTAGTGATATGGAATTGGCATTTCTAGGTTTCATCAAAATTCTATGCTAAGCTAAACATTATTGTTATCATCTAAGGTTTATTAATTTGTAATATTTTATTTGGATTTATAATGAAGAAAAGAATAGGTTATTGACAGCTATTTTCTTTTTTTTATTTCTTTTTTTAAACTTATATTTAGTAAATATAAATTTCCAAGGTACAGCTTATGGATTACAATGTTCCCCCCCATAACTTCCCTCCCACTCGCAACCCTCCCATCTCCTGCTCCCTTTCCCATTCCATTCACATCAAGATTCATTTTCAATTATCTTTATATACAGAAGATAAATTTAGTATATATTAAGTAAAGATTTCAACAGTTTGCACCCACACAGAACATAAAGTGTAAAATACTGTTTCAGTACTAGTTATAGCATTAATTCAAATTGAACAACACATTAAGGACAGAGATCCTAAATGGGTAGTAAGTGCACAGTGACTCCTGTTGTTGACTTAACAAATTGACACTCTTGTTTATGCCGTCAGTAATCTCCCTAGGCTCTTGTCATGAGTTGCCAAGGCTATGGAAGCCTTTTGAGTTCGTGGACATCGATCTTATTTAGACAAGGTCATACTCAAAGTGGAACTCAAAGTGGAAGTTCACTCCTCCCTTCAGAGAAAGGTACCTCCTTCTTTGATGGCCAGTTCTTTCCACTGGGATCTCACTCGCAGAGATCTTTCATTTAGGGTTTTTTTTTTTTTTTTTTTTTTTTTTTTTTTTTTTTTTTTTTTTTTTTGCCAGAGTGTCTTGGCTTTCCATGCCTAAAATACTCTCATGGGCTCTTCAGCCAGATGACAGCTATTTTCCAGATGCAGGCATAGCATAGCAGAAAGGCAGGCATGGTTCAGATCAAGAAATGTAATCTTTGATCATTTTTTAAAATATTAGTGTAACCATATATAATTCATTCAATCTCCCTATGGCATGAATTCAACATTTGTTAAATGAAAGGTTTAACCAAAGTTATTTGTCTTTAAAACCATTCTTTTTTATTTTAATTTTATCTGAAAGACAGGGGGATATGAGCGAGAGAGAGAGAGAGAGAGAGAGACAGATCTATCATCTCACTCACTCCTCAAATGCCCACAACGTGCAGGGCTGCACCAGGCCAAAGCCAGGAGCCCAAAGTCAGTCTGGGTCTCTCACATAACAAGTAATTCAGCGACCATCAGGAGCACATTAGCAGGAAGGTGACATTGGAATCGTGCATTCTAATATGGGATACAGGAGTCCCAAGCAGCATTTTAAGTGCTGTCTCAAATACCCACCCTCCAAACTTATTTAATGAAAATCATATCAACAAATGCTTATTCCTTATGCCGTGGCCTTGTGCAAAGTATTTTTCAATATTCAATGGGTTACAGTAATAGTTTTCAATTCTGTCAAAGAGATCAGAATTCAGAATATGAGACTTAAAAATGAGGCAGAAGTAGATTTCATAAAACAGGAAATACTTAATTGCCAATAAGTGGTTCATGAAATAGTATCACAGAAACCAAAATGGGAAAAAGATTGGTTCATGCCGTAAAGAGAAGGGGAAGATTTGTTAGAAAGGTCAGGGGATGGAGGAATGAATTTTTAAAGATGGGCATTTGAATCATTGGAGTACATGAAGAATGTCCAGATGGAAAGTGTGTATAAAGACAATTCAGGGTCTATAATTGTATAATTCTTTTATTTATTTATTTATTTATTTATTTTTGACAGGCAGAGTGGACAGTGAGAGAGAGAGACAGAGAAAGGTCTTCCTTTGCCCTTGGTTCACCCTCCAATGGCCACCGGGGCCGGCGCGTTGCAGCCAGCACACCGCGCTGATCCGATGGCAGGAGCCAGGTACTTCTCCTGGTCTCCCATGGGGTGCAGAGCCCAAGCATTTGGGCCATCCTCCACTGCACTCCCTGGCCACAGCAGAGAGCTGGCCTGGAAGAGGGGCAACCGGGACAGAATCCGGCGCCCCAACCGGGACTAGAACCCGGTGTGCTGGTGCCGCAAGGCAGAGGATTAGCCTAGTGAGCCACGGTGCCGGCTCTATAATTGTATAATTCTTTCTAGGAACTGAAAAAAGATTTTCTAGCTGTAGACTAGAAAATGCTGCCTAAACAACAACTAGTCCCTCTCTATAAAGTTCTGTTTAGCAGGGGCCGGCGTTGTGGTGCAGTGGGTTAACGCCGTGGCCTGAAGTGCCGGCACCCCATATGGGCGCCAGTTCTAGTCCCGGCTGCTCCTCTTCCAATCCAGCTCTCTGCTGTGGCCTGGGAAGGCAGTGGAAGACGGCCTGAGTCCTTGGGCCCCTGCACCCATGTGGGAGACCTGGAAGAAGCTCCTGGCTCCTGGCTTCAGATTGGCGCAGCTCCGGCCGTTGCGGCCATCTGGGGAGTGAGCCATCGGATGGAAGACTTCTCTCTCTCTGCCTCTCCTCTCTTTGTGTAACTCTGACTTTCAAATAAATAAATAAATATTTTTTAAAAAAATTTCTGTTTAGCATGCCTTTAGGAATTTCCCTTAAATGGCTACCAAAAGGAGACATACACACACACGCACATGCACACACAAACATCCATTAAATGGGATTTTAATAGTCCCTATTAGAATTAACATATATAACATGTGTCAAAGGGAGCCTGGCATGCAAAGTATTTTATATAAGCATTTGTATATTCAAAATATATAAAATAAATGTTTAATGTATATGGTCATTGCTAGCACCCTTTATATATTATTATATATAGGTATTACATACAGCATGACAAAATATTTCTTCTGAAATACTGTTAAATTATGATACTGCCCTAATTATGTTTAAAATATTTTTCAGTCAGAATGGTCAGTATTGAAGACTACATATCAAGATTTATTGAGTGATAGAGACAAAGATGAAAATCAGAACCTTCAGGATGGTGCATTAGAAACAGAAACCATTAATATTGGCTCAAAATACTTTCATTATTGGCCCTGTAACCCACAATGTGCCTTTCATCTCAAAGTTCAGTATTTCTAAAAGTCAGTTCTGCAGCCATGGAGACTATTTAACAGGCAGGTCATCTCATGAGACATCATCAGCTGAGGAAATCTCTGGCTTTGTTTTAAAATTTCATTGGATTATTGGAACTTTGTCTCATTTTGCAGCTGTTTACCTCTCATTCTCATTGCCCGAGATTAAATGAAACAATAGACTTTTAAAGTGGTGCTTCTTTTGTTTTTTTCAATCAGGCCTGTATTTAATGTATAAAGCGAAAGAATATTAAGCACGCATTGTGTATGCGTTTCTCTACTACTGTATGAAGCAAGGCATTCATATTTTATTTATAATTTGTCACAATGAAAGTATTGATTCAAAATACAAATATTGCTCCAGAGCCACTGTTCATAAATGATATCTGATTTCATATGACATTTTGATTCTATGAAAGAGGGCTGGCACATTTTAGATATGTTCTCTTTTTTTCCTTCTTCTTTCTTTTTTAATCCTGATGCCTATGCAACAACATGCTTCATTTCTTGGTGAAATTTAGTTATTATTTACACACTTTTTGACTGTCTGGTCTTCCTTTGGTGGGCAATATTATTTTAGAAAATACTTCATTTATTTCTTTTTTATCCCCAGATCCTGTATATGTACAATAATACCATACCTAATTGAAAATCCTGTAACCGACTGATATGTTGCTTTCCTGTTCCTTTTATTATGCAGTAAGCATCAGTGTAGAATTTCCCCATCATCATTTTTGAAAGTTAAATTAATAACAGCAGAGTGAAGTACCCTGTGTTAATGATCTATAATTAATGAAAATACCAAAAGATTTCTTTCTATGCTCAAGAGACAATTTACATGTCAGAGATGTGTCAAAATCTATCCTTCCAAATACCTAGGATATATTTGTTCAATGTTATAGGATGAAATCACACAATTAGCTTGATTTTTTCATCTCATTATTTTTAGGTATGCAAGGAGTACTTTGGCAATTACAAAAAAAAATCTATCTTCCAGTAGTAGCCAAGGAGGAATCTCCCGATCTTTCTATTTAGAACATTTTTAGAAATTTTTAAATAAAATAAATTAAAAGAACAATTGGACTCCAAACTCTTAAGTTACTCAGAGTATATTTACACAAAATTCTACAATTTTATGGTTAAATTTATTGTTTTTAGAAAATAGTATTTTCCCCTGGTTTACCATTACCAACCATCCAAAGTTCTCTTCAAAAAAAAGACCACTACCTTAATCTGACTTACAGATTGGATAGAATGAGCTATAGTAACTAGCACAAATTCAAGAATTATTATTCAGAGAAAAAAAATCACTATTTATAAAATTCATCCAGATCAGTAGTTTTAATGAAATCTATGGAGTCTTGTTCATTTAAGCCATCTCCTACCATTCCACATATTGAGAGCTACTTTAAATAATACTGATCTAGACTAGAAAATCCATTCTTTTTCCTCTTCCCACTTTATATACAAACTTATAACTCTAGACATTAAAAACTTGGAATACATATTGAAAACTAGTTATGCTGAAGACATTGAATTGCTGTAGGTATTCTTAAATCTCTAGACTACATTTTGGGATTAAGATCTTAAATAATGGGTGCACCATTCATATATACGAGAGGGTATTCAAAACGTTTGTGAAAAATGTGTATTATGAAGAAACTCTGCATGGATTTAAACAAAAATTTTGTACCAAAGTAAACTTATTTTTAACTTCATTTTTCCACACACACTTTTAAAATTCCCTTCATACAAATCTAAAAGTAACTTTATGACTTTTTTTTTTTTTTTTGACAGGCAGAGTGGACAGTGAGAAAGAGAGAGAGAGAGAGAAATGTCTTCCTTTTGCCATTGGTTCACCCTCCAATGGCCGCCACAGCCGGTGCGCTGCAGCCAGCACACCGTGCTGATCCGATGGCAGGAGCCAGGTGCTTCTCCTGGTCTCCCATGGGGTGCAGGGCCCAAGCACTTGGGCCATCCTCGACTGCACTCCCTGGCCACAGCAAAGAGCTGGCCTGGAAGAGGGGCAACCGGGACAGAATCCGGCATCCCGACCGGGACTAGAACCCGGTGTGCGGGCACCGCACGGCGGAGGATTAGCCTAGTGAGCCGAGGCGGCGGCTGACCTTTTTTTCTATATTGATAAACCCTACTACTGTCCAATTTGAATTGTGTAATTCACATAACTACTCTAACTTCCCTTCAAATAATTAATCTAATACCAATCATATGAAAGTGATGTGGCTATGAACTTGTTCCTTAGAATCTCCTCAGTGATAAGAGGCATGAATATCCCACATATAAATACTCTAAGAATAAGATTTCTTGGCAAAATCCCATGCTTCCTGCTGCTTTTCACTGCACAGATCATTCCCTGGCATAATGGTTCCTTCATTTCAGCTATGCTGCTCATAATATTTTTGTTATCAGACATCACAGTTCTTTGGTTGGAAGCTGATGAAGCTTGGTGTGTGGAACTATATGCATTTGTACTAAATGAACTCTGACCACACGCTGCACCACACATTCCTCCATTCATCAAACATGTAGTGAAGTCCTCCGGTTTGTCAGTTGGCTTTGTGGGGTAGCGGCTTATGTCCCTGTCTGTATTGCTGGCATCCCATATTGGAGTGCAGTTTGCATTCCTAGCTTCGTGGTTTCCAATCCAGGACCCTGTTAATGTGATTGGAAAAGCAGCAGAAGATGGTTTGAGTGCTTGGGCTCCTGCCATTCACATAGGAGACCTGGATGAAGTTCCTGGCCCCTGGCTTCAGCCTGTCATTGTAGCCATTTAGGGAGTGAACTTGCAGATGGAAGGTTCCCCTCCCCTCTCCCCCTCAACTTTCAAATAATATATCTGGTATATCTAGGGCTAATTTCGTAGCTCAGGCTCAGCAGGTTAAACCTCAGTGTACAATGTTGGCATCCTATAGCAGAGTACTGGTTTGAGTCTCAACTGCTTCTCTTTGACTCAGCTTCCTTGCCTAGGAAGGCAGTCAATGATGGCCCAAGTATTTGAGTCCCTGCCACCCACATGGGAGACCCAGATGAAGTTCTCAGCTCCTGGCTTTCAACTAGCCAAGCCTTGGCTCTTAGGACATGTGGAGAGTGAATCAGTGAATGGAAGATCTTATTCTCTGTCTTCTCTCTCTCTCCTTCTCTGTCATGCCTTCTCTTTTGGCATACCAAATTTTGAATAAATAAATCAATTTAAAGAAAGAAAAGTGATCTAACTCTGGTACATTGTAACAGTCATGAAAGGACCAGGCACTCTGTAAATATTTATTTAATAAATAAACATATTATAAGACTTCTGGGACTCTGCCTAATGTGGATGAACATAAATTAAAAAATCAATTTAATTTTGCAGTGAATGTGATAAAAATGTTGTTGTTGGCAATATGGTATAGGTCAAGAATATCCAAGAAAATTCTCTTAAAAGAGTTACAGAACAAAATACACTGAATAAAAGGACAGGTAGGTGAAAGATACACATTTCAATCTTAACAGTATAATAATCATTACTTATCAGATTTAAAGAAAGAACATTATTTCATTAAAAATAGCAATAAAATGCAGTCAATAAAATGCAGTCAAGACACAATCTTAAAAGAAATATCAAAAGTCACATTAAGTAAATTCTAAAACTTTACTGAAAAAAACAAGAGAAATTCTCATGTGTAGAGACATAAAATTTTCCTCACCAGAATATTTTAAAGATGTCAGTTATTCCCAAATTAACTTACATACTTATTATAAGTCTATGTAAAAATAAAAGTAGCTTCATTTTAGGACTTTGAAATAAAGAAATGAAAATTTATTTGGAATAATCTACCCCCACACACATACCCACAAAACCCAGAGGAATCAAATGTCATTCTTTTTTTTTAAGAGAGGAAAAACAGGTTGCAGTCTCACACTAATATCACATATATTTAAAAATATTTATAAAACTAGAAACACATCATTCATTAGTATAAGAATTGATAGAAAAACTAATGAGTTTGTGTTGTGTGTATATGTCCTTATGTAGTACACCTTTTCTTTACTGTGTGTGTGTGTGTGTGGCTGGCTCTTCTCTTAAACCTTCTCATTGCTTTGTGAGTGAACTAAAACCAAAGTGAATAGAAAAGTTAAATATTCAAACACTCTCAAATCTTCAAGAAGACAATTTAGATATTAATACAATAGAAGAGTACCTAGGGATGTATGCTACAGGAGTAAATACAAATGAACAGAGTGATAATATTTAAAAGTAGAAAATATATAACTTCTTGGATAAGAAAAGCATCATAAAGGTAAATGAGAAACTAGAAAAATACAATTAATTGTAGATAAAAAGTTAATATGCTTATGATACGAAGACCTTTAAAGATCAATGAAAAGAAATTTTAGTTACCAACAGAAAAACTGGCAATGATGTAAGCGAGTCATACAATAAAATACACAAATGGTCATAATTTTATATATAATTCAAATTCACTATTCATAGAGTATTTGAATTAATAGTACGTTGTAATAATGTAAAAAATGCAGAAATACCAGTGTTGCTGAGGATGTGATTAGACAGTCTTATACTCTCATGATCAGTCTATTGGAAATATTATGTTCTGGAAAATCAATTTCTAAGAAAACAAACTTACATTTATTTCCATTTATGTTTGCTTGATTTAATGGGAAAACTATAAACAACCTAAATGTCCAGTATATCACCTTTTTGCATCTATAATACGAAATACCATATCACTAGTAAAAAATTAGCTTTTAGGAATGGGAATTAATTATTTTCTTCTGATACAGAGGTAATATTATTGTGGAAAATCAGAAAATACTGAAAAATCTAACATAAAGATCACGTATAATTCATTCATAGAGAGAAAACTCTTTTTAAAAAATATTTATTTATTTGGAATGCAGTTACAGAGAGAGAGGGGGAGAGACAGAGAGAGATCTTCCATCCAGTGGCTCACTTCCTGAATGGCCGCAAAAGCCAGAACTGGGCAAGACCAAAGGCAGGAGCCAAGAGCTTCTTCCAAGTCTCCCACATGGGTACAGGGGCCAAAGCACTTGGGCCATCCTCCACTGCTTTCTTAGGTGCATTAGCAGGGAGCTGAATCAGAAGTAGAACAGCCAGGACTTGAACCAGTGCCTGTATGGGATGCTAGCTCTTCAGACGATGGCTTAACTCTCTGTGCTACAATACTGGCCATGAGAGAAAGTATCTTATATGTGATTTTTCCCTTATTTTTAAAGTTAAGATTTAAGTATATATTTATTTTTATTGCATTTCTATATTATTTTATCTTAGAGATTGTGTGTGTGTGTGTGTGAGAGAGAGAGAGAGAGAGAGAGATACAGAGGAAGAATTCCTTGAAAATCATATTTGAATTAAAGTGGACCTTACTGATAACTGACAATCTTTGGATTTACTATAGTTTTTTTTTTTTGAATAGTGATTGAATTACAAATATCTATGTGTGGCAGATTTTTTGCAAAGATAGCCATTAAAAGTTCTTCAATCCCTGTACATATATGCCCTTCCTTCCATCAAGACGTGAAGGCTCTTTTTCTGTGCCCTCAAACTTGAGCTAATCCTGTGACTTACTTTAACTTTAGACTGTGTTGAAGTGAGGCTGAATGACTCTTAGTCTGGATCTTAAAAGACTTTTTAAATTCCTTTGTCATGCTCTTGGAAGTCAGCTGTCATGTAAAGAATGTCCAGGGCTGGCACTTGGCACAGTGGGTAAAGCTACCACTTGCAGTGCCAGCATCCCATATGGGAGCTGGTTCATGTTTCAGATGCTCCACTTCTGATTCAGCTCCCTGTTAATGGCTGTGAAAGCAGCAGAAGATGGTCCAAATCCTTGGGCTCATGAACCCAAGTGGGCGAACTGGCTGAAGCTCCTGGCTTGTGGCTTTGGCCTGGGCTAGCTGTCCAGCCTTGGGTGCTGAGGCCATTTGGGGAATGAACCAGAGGATGGAAGAGATCTCTCTCTCTCCCCACCCCTCCCCCCGTAATTCTGCCTTTCAAATAAATCTTTAAAAAATGATTTCTGTAACTTCTAGAAAAAAGTTCACTCGGAAGAAAGGAAATTTTAAAGTGAAGGAAAGAAGCACAATCAATCCTGAGTTATTGTGGCCATCCCAGCTGAGTTCAGAATTTTTGAGTGAAGATATTTTGGATCCTGCATCCTGATTCAAGCTACTCCAGTTAAAATTCACCTAGGGCAGAAGCTAGTTCCCCCTAGTGAAACCTATATATACAGCAGGATTATTTGCTATTTCTTGTTGTTTGGTTTGTTACACAGCACAGGCATAACTCAGGCATTTCAGGTTTGGTTCCACACCACTACAGTAAAGTGACTATTTCAATAAGAAAAGTCATATAAACACTTTGGCTTCCCACTGTACATAAAAGAACTGCTAGTAATGTTCACATTGTTATACAGTCTATTATGTGTACAAGAACATTATATCTGATAAAAAACACCGAATGTATATATACCTTAGTTAAAAAAAAAGTGGTTACTAAAAACTGCTAATGATAATCCGAGCTTCCAATCTTCTTGGAGCCAGGAGCTCCATCCTAGTCTCCCACATGGGTGGCAAAAGCCCCAGCATGTGGGCCATCTTCCACTGCCTTCTTCCCAGGCTCTATGACAGGAAGTGGGATTGGAAGTGGACAAGCCAGGACATGAATAGGCACTCTGATATGGGATGCCAGCACTGCAATTGGTGTCTTAACCTGCACCACAAGGTGAGCCCCAAGTACTTATAATATTTTAGGTATCACTTAAACATTTTATTTAATATTAAAAAACAAGAATCACTTTTTTTGCAGTAACATGGATCTTTTATGCTATGTTCAACTACATATCTCTCACTAAACTTGTGTACCTGGAAATTTTCACAAAACCCCACCCAGTAAAAGCTGCAATGTTTCTAGATGGGTGTGCACAAAACATCAAGTTGAACTTGTCTAAGATTTTTCTGAGCATATGGCAAAGAGGTGGGAGCGGATGCTTTTTCATTTACTTACATTCACTGGATTTGCATGGGCTGATATATTTCTGGAACTTTAATATTACTCAAAATAAAGTAGACAAAACAGCACAAGAAATTTGATTATTTCTGACTGGTGGTTGATCCCCAGTGTTGATGGAAATCTGGCAAATACAACATAGCAACACAGCCTCATGCTTTGGATTCTTAAATTTTAATCATTTCATAACTCAAAGACTGATGTTCCAATTTCAATTCTGTTGCTGACTGGCTATTAATACTACACTGTCCTCATTTTCTCACATGTAAAATGGGGTTATAGTGCTCATGTTTTCTTTCTTTCTTCCTCTTCCACACCAATTCTTGTTTCCAAATTTATTAAGCTAGAGAATAACAATATATATTATATGTCCAAAAGTAATGAAAATATTTAACTAAGAAAATCACAAACCAGGGACCATATTGAAAAGAAAAAAGTAAAACTAGGAGTAGTAAATTGCTTGCCAAGAGATACTGTATTGGATAAGCCATGATTTTGAGTCTGTTTTCTAGCCAGCAACAAAGGAAAGAAGATGGGTTACACAGAGGATCAGTAAGATACAACTGGCCATATCAATAGCTATGAAACCAAAGAAAACATTATGAACTAAAGCATTTAGATACTGTAAAAATCAGGAAAAATAAGTATTTTTCAGTCTTTCACGGAAGAAAAAAGAGGGATCAGAAACATAAACAAAGACCAAATACTATTGGCAAAAAAGTTAAACAATAGTTCTAAAAATTAACATATAAAATTAAGTAAAGACCCTGATTGATGAATAAAATAGTGTATTACACATTTAAAGAAAGAACTTCTAAAGGAAATATTAATGCAAAGAAATTATCCAGGAAGTAGCAAAGAGAGCAAGGAGATGAAAATATGAGAGGACAGAGAGAAGACTTCTCAGATGCACAATGATAGTTCCAAAATTTCAAAATAGAAGAGATGGCAAAAAGAAATGTGTGTAGACGTAACTGCTATTTCAGATAACATGAAAGTGCCAATACTTAATTTAGGATGCTCAGTGAATCCTAAGAAGCTAAATAAAAACAAATACTCCTAAACAAAGTAGAATTAATACATTAAAGAGAAAGACAACATATTTAAATCATCATGGAGTAATAACAGGTTAATTTCAAAGGAAGGTCAATTAGATTGACAGCTGATTTCTCAACAGCAGCAACCATAACTATAAAACAATAGATTGATACATTCAAAATGCAGAGAAGCAGCAACTGTTTCCATAAAAATTACAAATAAAGCAGAATTTTCCTTCAAAAAAATGAAGGGCAGGCATTCAGTTCAGGAATTAATTCCACCTGATGGGAACACTGCATCCTAGTTCCTGGTGCCGGGCTTTGAATCCCACCTCTACTTTCCATTTCAGATTCCTGCTAAGGCAGCAAGTGATGGCTCAAGTGCTTGGACCCCGCAAGCCAACAGCGAGATCCAAACTGAGTTCCAGGCTCCTGTTTTCAGCCTGTTCTTGCCTGTTGTCGAAATTTGTGTGAGTAAATCAGCAGACAGGATATTACTCTCTCTCGCTCGCTCGTCTCCCTGTGTGTGTGTGTGTGTGTGTGTGTATACATGTGTGTTTGTTTTGTCTCTGTGCCTTTCCAATAGCTAAAATAAAGAAATTTTAATAGGCATTTCACATAAGAAAAACAGTAAAAGTTACTGGTTGTGGGGCTGGCGCTGTGGCACAGCGGATTAACGCTCTGGCCTGAAGTGCTGGCATCCCATGTGGGTGCCAGTTTGAGACCTGGCTGCTCTACTTCTGATCCAGCTCTCTGCTATGGCCTGTGAAGGCAGTGAAAGATGACCCAAGTCCTTGGGCCCCTGTACCCATGTGGGAGACCTGGAAAAGGCTCCTGGCTCCTGGCTTCAGATCTGTGCAGCTCCGGCCACTGCGGCCAACTGGGGAGTGAACCATCGTATAGAAGCCTTCTCTCTCTCTCTCTCTCTCTCTCTCTCTGCTTCTCCTCTCTCTTTGTAACTCTGACTTTCAAATAAATAAATAAATCTTTAAAAAAAAGTTACTGGTTGTTAATATGTAGCCCTGCCTATTTTAGGATTTGTCTTTTTTTTAAACACGTAGTTTTTTGCTTTGTTTTGTTTTGTTTAAAGATTGATTTGTGTTTATTTGAAAGGCAGAGTTACAGTTGGGAAAGACAGATCTTTCATCCATTGGTTCATTCCCCAAATGGCCACAACAGGCACAGTGGGGCCAGGCCAAAGAGAAGCCAGGAGCTTCTTCCAGGTCTCCTATGTGGGTGCATGGGCTCAAGCACTTGGCCCATGTTTCACTACTTTCCCAGGTGCATCAGCAGGGAACTGGATTGGAAGTGGGCAGTCGGGACATGAACAGGCATCTGTATGGGGATGCTGGTGTCATAAGCAATGGGTTTACCTGCCACGCCACACAATGGCCCTGAGAAATTAATTTTTGAAATTAAATTAAGTACTCAGGGTCCAGTGGCTTGGAACCTGTGCTTGTGATGTGGATGCAGAAACTCTCTCACAATCTGAATCCTTTTCAAACACTTCATCCTCTGAGGTGGAATAGGAAGGAAGAAAAACCCAAATGGAGTTTTCATATACAATTGCCCATAGTTACTACACTGATGTTTATTTGTTGAAACTGCTTTTCCATCATTAAAAAATCCACCATGAGACATATTATTCCTCCCTTTTTTACTTGTAGCTGTTTCCCTATAGTTGATATCCAAATGTTGGTTTCTTAATGGATAGATATTTGTTTGTTCTATAAACACCCCTAGAGAAACCCTTTGTAGTTGCATGGCTTGGGAGAGTCAGCTTAACCACCTCTGTATTTTTTTTATGTTAATTAAATTAAATTTTATTTTGTTTATTTGAGGAGAAAGAAAGAGGGAGAGAGAGAGAGGGTATAGGGAAAGGTAAAGAGATGGGGGGAAAGAGAAAGAGAGAGAGAGAGAATCTCCCATCCACAAGTTCACTCCCCAAATGACACAAGAGCCAGTGTTGGGCCAGATTGACCCAAGGACTTGAATCACCACATGCTTCCTTCAGTGTGTGCAATAGCAGGAAGCTGGATCAAAAGTAGCACAGGGACCTGAATCCAGGTACTCTATCATAGGAAGGGTACTCTGTTACCTCATGGGGTTGGGGATTTTCTGTATTCTTAGGAGTATTAGTAAGATAATTTAAGTTCTTGTTTTTTTCTTTTAAAGATTTATTTTATTTACCTGAAAGACAGAATTAGAGAGAGAGAGGGAGAGAGAGAGGGAGAGGGAGGGGGGGCGAGAGAGAGAGAGAGAGAGAGAGAGAATCTTCATCTACTGGTTCACTCCCAAATGGTTGCAATTGTGGGACTGGGCCAGGCCAAAGCCAGGAGCCCAGAATTCCACCTGGATCTCCCATGTGGGTGGCAGGGGCCCAAGCACTTGGGCCATCTTTTGCTGTTTTCCCAGATGCATTAGCAGGGAGCTGAATTGGAACCAGAGCAGCCAGGGCTCCAACTAGTGCTCTTATGGGATGTTGGCATTGCTTAATCTGTTGCATCACAATGTTGGCCCTAGATAACTTAATTTCCAGCTAACACCAGTGGTTATTGTGGAAAACACATGCCCTCAACACGCTACACAGTGGGCATGGAAGCTTTAACCCCTTGCATTTGCTCCTCATCATCTCTCTTGCCTCTTTCATCTCCTATCAAAAGTTTTAAGTCTAGAGTACCAGCTATTCTGATGGTGCAGTAGCTTAAAACATTTCACACAAAGAATGAGCAGTAGTCATGGTTTAGTGAACAAAGTAATGGTTCTGACAACTTTACTTTTGTGGGAAGAGAGAAGATATATTGAATGCTATTCCACATCTGTAAGGGGAGTACAGAAGCTGTTCTACAAATTCTAATTCCCTCCAACAGTGACTTTTCATATCTTTCTATATTACATAATTCCCAAGAAGTGCATACTTGCAGGGCTGGGAAGATGATGGTTCCAACTATCCTAAAATAGTGCATCTCAACAAGTTTCCTAATAAAGTGGTTGAGCCCAAGCTGGTTGTTTTCTGATTCTGAAATCTGACATTAGCCTGTGGATTCTCGTATTTAGTCTGGTACAAAAAGTAGTTTTCTATTGGCACTCTACAATGTCATGCGAGAGTGATATAACTTATTAAATCATAAATGTTAGCATATAACGCCAATGAATCCTGTGCATTATATTTACCATTAATGCTTATAATGAGGCAGCCTAAATTTTATAATGTGGAAAACTCTTATTGGAGGTAACATCAAAATACAAAAAAATTAGAAATAAACCAGGAAGGTAAAGCATGTGCCATGAAATATGGGAAAGACAGAATTCTGTTTTGCACAACTGCCCTTAATACATAGTAAATAGAGCTAGTAGGGTATTAATTTCCTTTATAAATTCAATTTTATATGTCTGAGACTTATCTTGTTCTAAACTACATTGGACTTTAAAGGAAAACTCATTTTCTATTCTTATTTCTATTTCCTCTATTCTGTAACCAGATCAGTAAAATAATACAAATGTTGTGTGACTATGCAAAATATTATAATCTATTTTCTCTGCATGTTAGTATAAGAAACTGGCAAGTTCTTTCCACATAGCACATTGAGCCAAAAGCAAAATAAGTGAAAAATCAATTCACATTCTTCCTCATCTGATGGTAAAAGTTTATTAGGCTTATTTTCTTTCATGTTTATTTATTCATAAATTGTTGTTAATTCATAGTAATAGTTAATTTTAGGCTTCTGTCCTCCAACATTGATGTATTGATGAGCTGCTCAAATATGTCAAATCTAGCATCTTTCTGAACTATTATATTTCTTTAAAAAATGATTTTAAATTGTGGCAATACTCTTGCCCATTGACAAACGTCTCAATAATTAAAAATAGAAGAATAGTAATAATGAAATGAAGATTGATTATGATCTGATGCTCAGCAGAGAGTGTATCTGTGAATGAATTTACCAGATTTGTAGTTGATGTAACTGGCAGAAACAACAGCTCTATGAATGACTCTGATGCAACACCTTAACAAGCTCTCTGGGGAGGGTCTATCACAAACATCTGTTTTGTATGAATGGCTGCTAGGTGAACTGACAACAACTGGTCTGTCCCTGAAGTTTCTATATGAAGTTAAAATAAAGGGCAATACTTTTCAGACATCCACAAAGCCACAATCTGAAAAAGAGAAACAATTTTTAAGAAGTTTTATTTTATGGAAGAAATGAATCATCAAGATACCTTGCCAGAACTTCATTTTGAAGTTGTTTATTACTGTGCATATTATTCAGATGCAAGTATACATGTAAATCTTTGACATTTCACTTTTCCATTGGAGATCTAGGTAGGTAACTGACATGATGGAAGCTTAGATTTTAACCATCAGAAGATGGTAAAACAGAACTTTTTTTTTTTTGTCTTTGTTGTGGTAGGTGAATATATAGACACAAAATTTTAGATTATTGAGACCTTGGCTCCCTCATTTCCTGATTTTGTCTTTAATTAGTTAACAAGTTAATTAAAATGTATCAGAAAACACTCTGACCTTTCCCCAAACCTACCCATTAACAAATTCTATTGTCCACAGAAAGTGGACAAATTGTATTATTCTGGCTTGAATACATGAAAGAAGAATGCAGAATTGTTTATCTGCAAACACTATTTTTAACTGATTTCCTGCTCTTCTATTCTGAAAAACTGTAATACTTGCATATTATTTGTTTCATATGCTAAGAAGAACTCTTATCGTAATATGTAAATTTTCTAAACTACTTTTACCCTCTTAAACATTATCATTTTTAAAAAATATTGGACATCGTTATGTCATTTGTGGACATACATTCCTTTTGCAATGTTCAACATGCTTTAATGATTCAAGCAACCTATGTTGGGTCTCTGGTGTCACTGTTTCTACCTCTGGGAGAGTCATGGGGGACAGTCTAATGTGTGATCTAACATCAACATCACAGCTTCACCTATTCCCTGTTTCTAAGACTGACGAGGGATCCTTGAGTACAGCTGTGTATTTCTTGAGACCAGAAAGATAAGGAAGGACTTGAAAGGTCTTGCTGTCATCAAAACCAAGGATTCTTTCAGAAATATCTGAGGAGGTATGGAAAACAAAGAAGGGACTAGTTTCTGAGAGAGCCTCCAGAGGCTCAGTATATATATTTTCATGCCAAAAAGGGGAAAACAGTGATGACATTCAATTTTAATATGATAAGTATATTAAAGTATACACAATTCCATTATTAAACTAAAAAAGCTCAAGTTAAAAAGTGGTTACTTCTGGGGCCAGCACCGTGGCTCACTTGGTTAATCCTCCACCTGCAGCGCCGGCATCCCATATGGACGCCAGTTCTAGTCCCGGCTGCTCCTCTTCCACTCCAGCTCTCTGCTGTGGCCCAGGAAGGCAGTGGAGGATGGCCCCTGTACCCGCTTGGCAGACCAGGAGGAAGCTCCTGGCTCCTGGCTTTGGATCGGCATAGCGCCGGCTTTAGCAGCCATTTGGGGAGTGAACCAACAGAAGGAAGACCTTTCTGTCTCTCTCACTGTCTATAACTCTACCTGTCAGAAAAAAAAAAAAAAGTGCTTGCTTCCACCTCAGAATACCTGGTCTCAATTCCTGGCTCGGACTTCTGATTCCAGCTTCCTTCTAATGCAGACCTTGGGAGGCACCCATGATGTGTAAGTAATTGAGTTTCCCATGTAGGTCGTGACCTACACCTGGATGGAGATTTCCCCCTCCCTCTTTCATGCTGCTGGCATTTGGGTAGTAAACTAGCAGCTGATGAGAGCTCTCTCTCTCTTTCTCTCTCTCTTTCTGTCTCTGTTTCTCTTTGCTTCTTTCTGCTTCCTAAATAAATAATAATTTTTTAAAAAGCTGGTTTAAAGCTCATATAAGTTTCCAATCTTTATTGTAAATGCAATATATGGATTACTCTAAAGTGAGACATACACTGAAGTTTTGATCAATTATGAATTTTAAATTATGTAAGTTGATCACTGTTTATTTTAATGGAAATATATTTAGATTGGTTAAAAAACTGTCAGCAAATCAAAAGGAAAGAAGACAAGACTCTTTATAAAACAGACAATATTAGAATTGTATCTATGAATTACACAGAATCTATTATCTTTGTATTACTATTACATTAACATGGGAATTGATAAGAATTATGCATTTTCTGTTACCCTGAGAATCTAATGTATTATTTTAAAAAATTCAATATTTTCCCCCCAAAAAAAGCAGACAGAAGAGACAAATGTAAAATTCTTACATTTTACTGACACAAAGTGAAGTCAGCCAAGAATACAGAGGGAATTTGACCAAGTAGATTTACATTTTGTTGAAACAAATTGTGCATTTAATTTGTCCTGGCAACAGGGCTCTCTTCTGATGTTAGGACATTAAAATTGCAAAAGGCACATGAAAATGAAAGAGTCTAACTAAAGTTGGTCTTATATCCTTTGGAGATACTGTTGGAAAAAACTTTGAGACAGCTTATAACATCCACAAAAATTAAATCATGAGGGAGAAAATTGGAGTCAGATTAAGTTCATTCTAATTCTCATGAGCTTCTTAGTATAGAATCTGTTTTTTTTTTATATTGATTTGAGTTGAGGGTAAAAAAGATCAGCAGATTGTGTACAGAGGTATACACCCATTTTGTCTAAACTTCAAAAAATTCAGAGCAAAATGGAATTTTAAGTTTATTTTTGGTGCAAAAATTTTAAAAATCTATGCATAGTTTTTTCCATAGTACACATTTGCCATGAACTTTGTGAAGACAATTCATATACATAGATTTAAAAATGTTTTTGCACCTGAATAAAGTTCTCTGTTAATTCCATTTTCCATAAAGATTTTGAAGTACCTGTATAGACTAGTTAGAATCAGGGCTGGGAAGGCACCATGGATTACAAAACTTTAGGCATCCATTTTGCTGGTGGAAGTTTCGGGTGGCTTTGGACTCAAGCTGTTAGAATGTCCTATGCTGAGGATGACTGTCTAGCTCTTCCTAATATATGGGGCCTAGATATGTCATGTGCATAAAGTGATTCCATTTCTATGAAATTTCTTTCAAACAGGAAATGTAACAATTTCACAGGTTGTCAAGTTCCAATGAAAGCAACACTAATTGCTAAAAAGTTCTTGCTTAGACTGAGCTAAAATTTTATCTCCCAATAACTTCAATTGTTTAGTTATAGATTTACTTTAGAAAGTCAACTCCAGGCTGGTGTTGTGGCATAATGGGTAAAGCCACTGCCTGCTGTGCAGGCATCCCATATGGGCGCCGGTTTGAGTCCCAGCTGCTCTACTTCCAATCCAGCTCTCTGCTATGGCCTGGGAAAGCAGTAGAAGATAGCCCAAGTCTTTGGGCCCCTGCACCCACATGGGAGACCTGGAGGAAGCTCTTGGCTCCTGGCTTCAGACTGGTGCAGCTCTGGCAGTTGCGGCCAATTGGGGAGTGAACCACGTGATGGAAGACCTCTCTCTCTCTCTTTCTCTGCCTATCCTTCTCTCTCTGTGTAACTCTTTCAAATAAATGAATAAATATTAAAAAAATAAAGTCAACTACAGAAGTTTTAAGAGCATTTTAATCTACTCATGAGTTCTAATGACTTTACACTAATACCTCTTATAATGTATTTCACAGTGATATACATTTAAATAATCCTCTTGGTATCTTTATTTTTATTATTATTCATGATAAATTGTATATATCTATTATTAGCAATAATAATATAGTAGTATTATTTTTATTTATACACCTATTTTATAAGTAAAGAGTAACCTTCCCTGACTATGAATCTTTCCTGGCAAATAAAGTTATTGATTTTTTTAATGTAGTTGACATTCTCTCTCTTTTCACAATTATATGAAGTTCAGCTGGTAACATTGTTTAATTTCTGACTACTAGAGACTGTCAAAGACAATACATGCTGGGATTATAAGGTGAGAATTGGGTGAATGACTTGAGCATGGCAAAATTGACCCATAGCTCATTATTTATAAGTGCTACAATAGATTCATATCTTGAAGTAGACTTCAAGGCTCTCAAGGGAAATATTAAATATTAATAGTAACAATGTTAATAGTACACTTTGTAGGATAAAGAGATGTTAGGCCCTTTGAAAAATAGTTGAAATCTACATGTTCATGGTTTTTTACTCCACAATATTGAGATAGTGAACTTTAGAAGTCAGATGTCAGAAAAGTGTATCTTGCAAGGAAATAATATGCACAATACTTTTAATGTAAGAGAAAGGGCAAACAACCACAGGGAAAATTTTCATGGATCTGTTTGGCAGTATTCCATGAGCATATACAGCATCCAAATCAGCTAATGAAATGCCTCAGCTCACTAACTGGCTATTTATAAAGGGATAAATGTCAAGAGAGAAAGAGGCTTTAAAGGCAAATAAATCAGGTTTTAAATTACTACTAATAATAAGGAAACTAGGACATTGAAAATAAGGCTTTTATGAATTATTAAAAATTCAGAATAATTCATGGTTGAAAAATGTTCAATTGGTGTTTACAGGGACAAAATGAAAAATAATATATTAATAACCTCAAGTTTATTGAAATGATCACTTTTTAAAATAGGAACAATTAGGTGAAATTTAGAGATGAATTTAGGTAACTCATAAAATAGCTCCTAGTTTTTCAAATTTATTATTCAATTTACTTAATAATAATTCAAAATTATCTGACAAAAATTCTTTAACAATACAATATAAAGTAGGTACTGTGACAAGTCCATCAATGTCTTAAACTTGGTAGAATATAATTTAATAAACTACTCACTTTCAAACATTGATGAAGTTAATTGAAAATAACATCTTTTTACTCACAAGTGTTTACATTAAATTTAAATTTTACTTACAAAACTGATGATGTGCATCAAAATAGGCACAATTGAAGCAAATAGAAAATAATGTTCATAAAGATTAACGATTCACAATCCACAAAGCATAATATTATTTATTGTTAGAACATATAGGGTAATAACATGAATTCTTATAAAATTAATGTCTTTTTTTATCTTTTTTTGGCTCTTTTTAAAATTTTTTTATTTATTTGACAGGCAGAGTTAGACAGTGAGAGAGACAGACAGAGAGAAAGGTCTTTTTCCATTGGTTCACCCCCCAAATGGCCGCTAAGGCCGGCGCACTGTGCTGATCTGAAGCCAGGAGCCAGGAGCTTCCTCCTGGTCTCCCATGCGGGTGCAGGCGCCCAAGCACTTGGGCCATCCTCCACTGCCTTCCCGGGCCACAGCAGAGAGCTAGAGTGGAAGAGGAGCAGCCAGGAATAGAATCCAGCTCCCATAGGGGATCCCAGCGCCGCAGGCGGAGGATTAACCAAGTGAACCAAGGCGCAGGCCCTCAGAAAAATTAATGTCTTGTCAACATTTTTTTTCCATTAGGAAATATAACAAGACAAAGTTTTTAGATATAGTCACAAATAGCTTTAAACAACTACAATTAACTCTGGAAATAATTTATATCATCAAAATTTAACATGAATATTTACCCAAAGGTAATTATTAATCTTTCTGGTAATTGTGGACACAATCATCTGTTGTTGAAATCTGATCACTATCTGACTATGATCACTGTCTTTCAAGTTTATAGTAATTTCTCTTTGGTAAAATATTCATTTCTGAATGATAGTGTTTTTTTACTTTTACATTAGGTTAGAGTAGAGATATTTGGAAAAATACATCCCAGAATAAAAGTTTACGCAAAGATTTTTTAAAAGATAGAGGCACAAATCTAATGTGTTAAATTTTAACAGAAGGAACAAGTTTGGGTTAGTTTTTAAAGATATTAAATAAATTGTAGTTACTTAAGTAGGGGAATGGAAAAATAAGAATAGTAAAAGAAAGGAGTGGGGAGTGGGGTGACAGGAGTAAGTGGAACAAAGTGTGGTACACTGGAATGAGGCAATGCAGAGAAATGCAAGGACAGTCACTGAAAAGGTAAGAACAATAGAGAGGGATTCAGAAGAATTAGAGTTTTCTCAAGTCTCATACAATCAGAAAGTCATGCATGCTGGACCCATGACTTCCAATTTTAAATTATATACATTAGTAATTCATATAGACACTGAGCCTGGACTGTGATTATTGGACATGACTCAACTGTGAATTAAATGAATATACAGAATTTATTGCACTTAGCATTCAATATGATTATTCACATTACTTCTGTTTCATGATTCAATTTTAAAGGAAGTAGATTTCAAATTAATTGTAAAATTAATTCTATTCAGCCTCAACCAGTTGAAACAAACCTGCAGTCATCATCTATAACCTGTAATGGGGATGGATGTTCAGGTTCCACTAACTTCTGTGTCCTGGGTAATGTCAAACGATATAAGCTAAGAAACTATAAAAGTAAAAAAACTCAAGTGAGTGTTGTGGTGCAGTGGGTTAAGCTACTGCTTGAGATGCCTGCATCCCATTTTGGAGGCCTGGTTCAACTCCTGGCTGCTCTGCCTCTGATCTAGCTTCCTGCTAATGCATCCTGGGAAGAAGCAGATGATATTTAAACTGAATGGGCCCCTGCCACCCATGTGGTAGTCCTGGCTCCTGGCTTTAGCCTGGCCCAGTTATGGCTATTGTGGGCATTTGTGGAATGAAACAACAGATGGAAGCACACTTGCTCTCTCTCATCTATGTCTCCCCTCTCTGTCACTCTGCCTTTCAAATAAATATATAAATGAATCTTTTGTTTTAAAGAGTTGTATTTGGGGTCTTAGGAATTGCAATTTGGGAGACACAGGTACAGATATCTCTGCATCAGTGTTTCAAAGAAAATTGGAGCTTATGTGGTCAAGCAATGCTGATTTATTACAAAGTGGTAAAAATTCCTTTGTAGGAAACATACATTGAATGTTGACCAAAAAACAAACAAACAAAAAACAGGGATAAATGATTGTCAGAAGGTAAAAGAGTGTATATATTCAGTAAAAAGCAAACATGTCCCTAAAACAAGAGTCCCATAACCTATTAAGATTCATCTTGAGTCTCTGAACATAATGTAATTATCTGGACACTCTGGTGATTCCAGAGGCCTACACAGAGTCCTTAATGTGTTGTCCAATGTGAAGTAATGCTATAACTAGTACTGAAACAGTATTTTACACTTATTTTTCTGTGTGGGTGCAAACTGATGAAATCTTAAATATATACTAAATCGATCTTCTGTATATAAAAATAATTGAAAATGAATCTTGATGTGAATGGAATGGGAGAAGGAGCGGGAGATGGGAAGGGTGCGAGTGGGAGGGAAATTATGGGGGGAGGAAGCCATTGTAATCCATAAACTGTACTTTGGAAACATATATTTACTAAATAAAAGTTAAAAAAAAATAAAAACTTCTAAAATCTAAAAAAAAAGAGAGTAGAGGTGACTGAAGTCCATATTCCTAGGCAGCATATTGACAATTGCATAAATCCTGTTTCCTTAATGGCCCCCCAACTCCACTTATAATGTTGCTTTCATCATGAGTTTCATTTTATTTTCACATTAATACAGAAAAAAAAAAGAGATGAAAATGCCAAGTGAGTAAATCAGCCTTTTTACTTCTGTGTTTCATGTTAACGGAATATCGCAGTATGCAAGACAATCTACTGCATATGTCTTAGTTTTATCCCTGGATTTCAGTAAATACCTGGGAGTGGAAATGTTATATCCTACGATAAGAACATGGGACACATGCCTACTGTAAATATAGACTCTGGTAGCAATGGGGTAGGTGAGAACTATAACAAAAATACAGAAAAATACACAAACCATAAATGTATAGTTCAACAAATTTTTAGAAAGTGAACAGATCCCCATAAACTGCACACAGATAAAAATAGTAACAAAAGCCCAGAAATACCACTTGTGTCCCCTCCCAGTAATTCCTTTACTCATAACTCCCTGAATATGTTCCCCACTCAGAATTGTGGACCTACTTCCTGGTGAGTTCCATTAAGAAACACACCGGAAGGAAGGAATTGTCACACAAAGCAAACCTTATTTGCAGCCAATAAGCAGACCATGGAGGAATCCTTTCTGCAGCTATGGTTTCTGAGCTAGGGGAAGCAAGTATCTTTTTCCTCCTAAAATGGGGTAAATGAATATGCAAGAAGTACTCTTCTTGTCGTAGCATAGAGTGGGTGGCACAAATTCACCTGTGTCTTAAGCTCCCCCTGGGGGCAGAAATCTTAGAATTAAAATGAAGCAAAAGGTGACCTTTACTCTTTCACCCATGTATGGTGCTGTTGCTCCTGTGTAGGGTCCGCAATAGTTGAGGGTGGCTGGGATTGCATCTCTCCCTAGAATTTAAATGAAAACTTTAAACAACTTTGGAGGACACTAGGTGCATTGGAAGCTTTAGGGTCTTGATCAGAAGTGAGCCACAATAGAAACTTTGAGCTGCTAGGGATATTAGCCAGTGACAAATGGAGTAACATTCCATTAAATGAGGATACCACTATTTACTCATTCTTTTGTTGATGAATATTTGGTATTTTTTTCTAGTGTTGAGGCACTATGAAAAATGCTGCTGTGATTTAAACCTTTATGTGACTTTTGGTACATTTCTATTGGATATGTATGTAGGAGTGAATTTATGGGTCATAGGAGTATATATGTTCAACTTTCATGAATGTAATCCCGAAGTTTTCTAATACAGTTGTATTAATTTACACTCTCACTGAATCTTTCACTGAGTTGTTCCACATAGTTACCAAGCCTTGGTACTGCCATTTTCATTTCGGCCTGATAGTTGTGTAGTGCTTTTAGCATGATGATTTTAATTTGCTATATTAATTTCTCTAATGTCTAATGATTTAGAGCAAATTATATATATATATATATATATAGCCTATTTGTATATCATCTTTTCTGAAGTGCCTAATATGTTCTCTTACTGATTTGTAGGAACTTACAATCTATCTGGGGGCTGATATTTTATTGTTATAATTATTGTAAATTTTCACTCCAATTGGTGCCTTGCATTTAACAGTTTTATTGAGGAAATTTACCTGCTATATGATTTACCCTTTTTTTTTCTTAAAAAAATATATTTATTTGAAAGTCAGTTATAGAGAGAAAGGAAGATACAGAGAGGTCAGTCTTCCGACAGTTGGTTTACTCCCCAAGTGGCCGCATCATCCAAGTCTGGGTCAGCCCGAAGCCAGGAGCTTCATCTGAGTCTCCCATGTAGGTGGCATGGATCCAAGCACTTGGCCATCTTCTGCTGATTTCCCTAGGTCACAAGCAAGGAGCTGGATTGGGAGTGGAACATCTGGGATGGGAAAAGGCACCCCTATGGAATGCTGGCTTCACAGGTGGTAACTTTACCTGCGGAGCCACAATACCAGCCCAGGATTTGGCCTTTCAAAGTGTATAGTTTAGTGGTTTTTTACTGCATTACTGTAATTCAGTTTTAAAATACTTCCTTCACCCCAGAAGCTTCCCTAATACCTTCTGCTGTCAATCTCTGCTTCATCCTCCAATCGAAAGACAACTACTGGTCTGTATCAGTAAGTGGATGTTTTCCTTTTTTTCTGCATAATTAGTTTTCTGACCAAGAGTTACTGGCACCTGGGTTAAAAGACACACCTTGGACGTTAAAAGGTGTTAGAGAGATCTGGAACCATCTGCTCTGCTTCAAAGGACCATAAAATTTATTTCTCCAAGAGCTAAATGCTTGCATTTGGGGGTATGGAAACCCTCCCCTTTTACCTTCTCCAGAATCCTTTTCAAAGGATAGTAAAACACTAGGGAGAGAAGGTGTCTCTCTTATGTCTCAGGAAGGGCTGCTGTCCTATTCTTATATAAAGCCCCATATTCATAATTTCAGGGTTCCTCTCCTATGACACAATCCCTGTATCTGAAGTCCTAAACACAAGGCTGTCATTCTATCACCTACAGGAAACTGATGCAGTTATTGCTCCAAGTAGTAATAATGACACTGATCTGTGCCAGAAACTTCATAGTTGCTTTCAGTGTAACAATGAATAAATATAAGTAAAAGTATCTCTATTTTGCTGACAAGGATGGCATCCTATTTGAAATATCAATTTCTGAAAGGGACAAGGGAGCACCCCACAGGCTGAATAACAGGATTTGGAGAAAGTCGACAGGATGAGAAGGAGGCACAGTGAGAAGACTGGAAAATACCTGCAGGAAGAAGACTGGATGGTAGGGTGGGACAAGTAGCCCAAGTGGTGCTTTTGAGTTTGGCTCTCTCTTCCAGGCAAAAGAAAAAAGGGTCCAGGAATTGTGAAAGATGGCTTTTGTGTTGGCCTCAAACAGCAGAAATTACTTTGCACATTGCTCTCTCCTTTAGACAGGTAGAAAAAGCATTAATCAGTTCCCAAAGCTGAAGCAGGCTTTGGGCATAGAAGTAGCTAAAAGTGCTTGGAACTGATGGGAGACAGAGCTAACTTGCTGATTTGCAAACACTTTTGCTCCCTCTGAACCATAACTCCCCACTCCCCTGTTCTCAGTAACTTGAACGTTTAGCGATAGTGCTCAATTTTCATGCTGCCAAGGGATGGTAGTAACCCAACACATTTGTCCCTTTATACTGTGAAACTGCAGGACAGGGGATTCAACTGTTGGTAACATTGTTGGCCACAGGTATCTACATTCCCAGTTCTATGGCAGGAGTGGGTGTGGGACTTGGGGATAGACAAAGTGCCAAAGAAGTAAAATGCAGGGGCTTGCATTGTGGTGCAGAAGGTTAAGCCACTTCTTGAGATATTGGCATCCCATGTTAGAGTGCTGGTTCCAGTATCAGCTGCTCCACTTCCAGTCCAGCTTTTTGAGCCTTTGAAAGGCAGTGCATGACAATCCATGTGCTTGGGCCTCTGCTGCACATGTGGGAGGCCCAGATGAAGTTCCTGACACCTGGATTTGGCCTGGCCTAGCCCTGGTTGTTGCAGGAATTTGGGAAGTGAAGCAGTGGATGGAAGATCTCTCACTCATGATCTGCTCCGCCCACCCCCATTATTCTTTCAAATTAAATAAACAAATAAATCTGCTTAAAAAAGTAAAATGTGGAGCCATGGATGCATGTGAGGACAGAAAGAGCCTGAGAACAACCAGAAGCTAGGAAAAGCAGAGAAAGGGACCAAAGGAAGGCAGAAGGAAGAAATCTTCCCATCCATCTCCCTCACACAGTCCCCATTACAACTCCATTTGCTGCTCCCTGCTGATAGAACATAGGATATCCTGGCAGCTGTGACCTTAATTTCTAAATGCTAATTTAACTTTTACAGCTTTGCGTAAAACTTGATGAGAAAAAGAGTTTACTTAAAACACTATTGTTGCTGTTAAGTTTGAATGCATGGTAAAAATTAAAGTCAGACTTTAAATGCTTGTAATTTCTTACCTCATAGGTGCTATAGGGGATTACTCCAATCAATTTTAGTAGAAATTGCATTAGGGTCAGAAGAGGTCTACTCTCTGGCTGAAGAGTTATGTTATGATTTTTTTTTTGAAAGGGACCTTCTAGAAGTTTGATGATGGTGAAATTAAAAAAAAGATGTAGGTTTAGATAATATGTGAAATCAAGGGTTTTGTTTCTTGGTAACCTTGTGAAGATGTCCAAGGACTTTCACTCTCAAACATGGTGTCTTGGGATGCTGGTTACTTTAAATTAAAGGAGCTTAGATAGCAGCAGATGTTGAAAGGGGCTACTTTGGTATCTCCTTGTCTGCTTAAAGTTGGACCTCCAAGGAAGGAAACAATGATCTTTAGTCCCTTCTCTGAGCTTTCATATACTAACACTGCAAGAAGAAAGACTATAGTCTGTCAACACACTTGGCTGGATTTGTCACACACTGTTGTCTTCTATTTTGCTCATTCAATATTCCAGAAAAAAATTATTCACAATTTACTCTGCAGATTAATTGGACTTTGCCTAAGGTCATTGCATGCTTCCCTAAACCCAATGAATTCCCCTAGAAATCAGTAATAATTTCCCACAAAATTGAAATTTTCCTCCTTCTTCATAGAAAAGTGGTACCCAGTCTTCCCAGTCATGTTGGGCTCATGGGTAGCCACAATGCTTGACTGCTTCTTCCATTCACACAATAAATTCCTGTTTCTGTTTCCTCTTTAATCTCTATATTGCTGCTTATTCCAGCAAATGTTCAGGTGACAAAGGTAAGCCTGTCCTTTAACCTCTGTACTAGCTGTTTAGGATATGGAAGGTCTGCTGAAAAAATTCCAGATTCATAATCTGATTCATAATTCTCAAGGCTGAAGTAAATTTGTTATTAGGGCCTTCTTTATATAGGTATTAATATGTGTCATGAAAATGGCAGAAAGATCTGTTTCTGGATCTCTCTGCCTTTCAGGTAAAATGAAAAAAAAATTATGCCATAACAATGAATCAGTCAACTTCATACAGAGCTAAAACTAACAAAATACTAGAGAAAAATATAACTTTGGAAAAGAAGAATCCTGGTCTGCCAAACTGGAGAGTTTTATCATGAAATACTCAAATCTGTGAAGCATAGTACATTTTACTTCACAATTCTATGAAGACGTAGAGGCTTATTTGTTACTTGCGATGCTCTCATGACTTGGTACCAGAAATTATCCACAAAAATTATTTGCCTGTCTGGAAACCCTCATTTAAGCTAATGTATTCATTAGAATAATCATGTTCTACCATTAGGTAATAAAGATGATATAGATAAAATTTGATCTCATTTTTGTGATTGTTTCTTGGCGTTAGCTGTAACACTCTGTTCTTGTAACTATACATTATTAGAGCTAGTTTTTTATAATGTTTGAAATTTCTGCAATTCACATTCTTGCTGTTATTAGGTGGAAAACTATTAGGGATAATTTGTTCCATTTTTCAACAGTAATATCTCTATACAAGAAGTAGAAAGCAGAAACTCAAGAAAATGGAGCTGAAAATATGGATATATGTGATTTTATCCTTTCATTTAAAGAAATATTCAGTGCCAGCCATGGGACAGGCATTGTTTTATACACTGGCAATACAGTTGTAGGCAATACATAAATTACTTTTCTTTTTTTAAAAAATATTTATTTGCATATTTATTTCCAAGGCAGGGGTGGGATGGGGAGGACAGGGCAGGCCACACCACTTGCTTGTTTACTTCCCAAGTACCCAAAACAATAGGAGCTGGGTTGAAAGCAAGAGTTGGGAATGCATAGGTCTCCCATTTGGGTGCCAGGAATTCAACTATTTGAGCCATCCCTGTTCCTCCTAGCCTCTGCATTAATAGGAAGCTGGAATTGGGAGATGGAACCAGGAACAGAACCCAGGTATTCTAATACAGGAAGTAGGTATCTTTGTTGGCATCTTAACCACTATGTCAACCATCAGTCCCCTAAATCATTTTTCTTAAACCTGTGCTCTCTTGTGAGAGGAGGCATGCAGTAAGTAAAATTTGAAATATCATAAACAGTGTTAAGTACTACGGAAAAAGATCAAGAAGGGAATCGAAGGAATGGTGGGAAGGGAGAGGTGTTCGGTTATTGGCTCCATGGCTGCTGTCCTGTCTTCCCTTTGAAGGCAAGGACCCTGTCTGATCTTGCTTGTCTTCACACCCCAGTGTATACAAGACATTTGGCATTTACCAAATGCTGAATGAGTGGATGGATAAACACAGTATTGAATGAATCATCCTTTTATCCTTAGTTATGTTTTGTTTTAAACACTTTGCATAGTATGTATATTATTTTCTATCTGCCTCACTCATCTAGAAGGAAACCTGCACAAGAGTAAGAATATTTATCGATTTTGTTTCCTGATGGATCTCAAGGAGCTAGAACTTTGACAATAACATTTACTAAATATTTGTGGAATGAATGAATGAATTATATTAACTAATTTCCTTAAGAGGAAACAATGTAGCTATTAGCTTATGACACTTTAATTTTGCTGCTTTGGGCAAAGCAGGTTTTTCCTACCAACACACCTTCTGTTGCTACTGATGAATTCACAATTTGTGTGTTCAAGAATGCCATGACTAAAGTGCTTAAGAAGGTAATCTTGATGCCAAATTCATGTACCTTGGAAAAATTTCAATGTAAAAATGTATTAACTCTATAATTATTCAACTGTGAATGACAGTTTCCTTTCTATCCTTAAAGATTTTTAAAGGGGGTTGGCCAAGAAACTGCATTATTCACTGAAATTCACTTAATTATTAGAAAAGTAAGAAAAGAGTAAGAAAGAGTAAGAAATTGTTTAGAAAATCTTGACAAATCTGGAGTAGGTGAGGGGCCACAAATGCTGTGTTCTTTGTTTTCATTTGAAGAAAATATTTTTCTGTCCTTTCTCATCCCAGACACAGACAGTTCCACAAATTGTTTTCTGACAATAGAAGGTTCAGAGTTCTATTTTAGAACTATTGTAGGTGGAGTTTATACTTCAAAGAGCCACAGAGAACCTAGAAATGCATCAGAGGATCACAGTTCAAGAGATGGACACCTAAGTATAAAGGTCCACTATTAACAAAATTTCTGGGAGTAGGGCATGAAAGTCAAGTGCACAGTGTTTTCCTTTCTGGACATTTACAAATACCCAATGACTTAGTGAGAGCATTTTGGAATTTTGTTTATTATTCATATAAGACTTTGATACTGGATTTTAGTTTAAGGGCAAGGCACTGAAGCTGCTCTTAAATAACTCCCTACCCAGAACCACTTGCAGGTGGAAGAAATTCTCTTTTAAATAATCAACATTTGTGAAACCATTTCCAGGTAGAAAACTTTTTCATTGAGAAAGTTGTGGTCATATATGGAGAACTTAACATGACATGATAACAGGTAAAACCAACTGGGATTCATTGTGAATTAATTTTCATAATTCCAATTTGTCTATTTCCCTATCTTTTCAGTTTTGTTAGGAATTTCTGGAAGATTTTATGTTTATACCAGCAATTTTCAAAATCTATTCCACAGAATCCTACTCCTGTTCAATGCACTACAATGTTTTATGGTGAAATAAATAGGAAAATATTATAAAACTTTTCTATCAGATAGTTACAATACCAATAAGGATTAAATAAAGTGACTCCTTTAACGTTAACCGGGCATTTCTCAAACTTATTTTTCTTCCAAAATTATTTTGTAGTGTACAAATCATCAGATTTTTTCACAATTATGTTACCATCTAATGTAAGTCATGTAATTATTTATAACTTTGTTTCATCAAGATAGGAAAACACTGAAATATTCTTCTAATTTTTAAGACTCTTTTAAAAAATATAGTGGGCAAAACAGAAACTCTAGTAAATATTACTCTATATATACTGTAGTATATATAATATATAATTGCATACTATGTAATATGATTATAATATAGTGAATATATTTAACTATAATACATAGCTTATTATATATTGACATATATATACTGTACTACATATTATATATACACTCTATATCCTAGAAATACTAAAAACTTTAATTATTTGCATATTTTAGTTAATTTCAGTACTAGTTTACAGATTCTTTTACAAATTTCTAGAAACCCTGAGGGGCAGTTCTTTGAATTCTAATATACACAAGTTTAATGGTATGCTGCTTATATCATCATGCACATTTCCTTATCATAGTTGTCACTCCACAGATCATAGCTCTGGCTATCTATGACTTTTCAAGTATAAACAATGAGGCTTAGAGGTTATTTGCATTAGAAGATGTTTCAACAAGATGCGAAGGCCTATAGGAACCTCATCAATCTATTCTCATGGATGACCCATGATAACTTCATTATAGATAACACTCCTTGTATATTCCTCATGATGATTGTATATGTGAGTTACAAACTAGATTTAAGAAAAAGGTTTATTTATAATTTTTATTTGAAAGTCAGAGTGACAGAGAGATCTCCCATGTGCTGCACAGGTTCACTCCCCAAATGTCTACAATTGCTGAGCCTGGGCCAGGCAGAAGCTGGTAACCAGGAATTCAATCCTGGTCTTCGATGTGAGTGGCATGGATTCAAGCACTTGAGTCATTGCCTGTTGCCTTCTATGGTATGCATTAGCATGAAACTGGAATTGGAAATAAAGCCAGGATTCAAATCAGGCACTCTGACATAGCAAGGGATGTGGGTGTCCCCAGTGACATCTTAATCTTATTACACAAAATGTCCACACCCCAAACTAGATTTTTATGCCAGGCAGGATCAATACCTTCAGTTTCTCTGTTGTCCCTCAGTACCCACTTTGTATAAAAGCAGGCTATTATAAATGTTATTTATTAATCAATGCGCATTTTTTTTCCATGTAGTAGCTAGGTGAAAACAAATTTATTTGTAAAATCCATATTATATGACTATGGTTGTTAGGAAACCATACCTTCAGCTGCCCAGATGTAAAAATTTTTGTTTGTTATGATGAAATATAATTTTCACTAGATGACAGATCAGAAAAGTCACACTAAATTTGCTAGTTCCATATAATAAATCATTTTAATAATTAAGATACATAAGTAGTTTATGATAGAAACAATAAAGTTGTCTCAACTCTGCAAAAACTGAATTTCTATGTAATGCTTAAGGAATGTATTCACCTTATTACATTCAAAATAATGGTTGAACAATGATTATAATTCTTTCTCTGAATAATGTTCCTTTTATAGTCTATGAATTCACATGGTATTACAGTCATTTATAGTATTACAGTGCTTAGTAATCTTTCAAGACATGGAATAAAATTCTTCTACAGATGTGTAGAGAGTAAAATTAAATAATTTAAAAGTTATTTGCATAACTTCTAATGAAAACAAAATATTTTTTCTGTAAAAATAAATTAGGGACTTTACAATGAAGTGTTATTCTATTAAAGTGTTTAGAAAACAGTTACATTCATTTTTGGTTGTATGCTCAGACATTCATATTTGCCACTCTCTTTTGCATGATAAAATGAGGCACAAGCTGTTCACATGTGAAAAAACCATCTTATTTTCACGGGAAAGGAAATGATAAAGAAAGAGAATTGAATAGAAAGCCCAAGTGTCATACAGATGATAGATACAGGAATCTATTAATAAGTTTTTCAAGTTCTTTGTGGTGACACAATCATTGACTGCACCTTATCAAAGATAGTTTTTATAATTGTGCTACCCTGTAATTTCCATCCCATTAGTATGCATCGATTGCAAGTTATAGTCCCCTTTCATAATTTAAAGCATAGTGTTGGGTCAATTGGCTGACACACAGCAGTTGAACTCATCATGACTGACCACTTTTAATAGGAGAACAGAAGAAATGAGCATCTCCATTCTGCTTTAAGTGTGACTTGCAGGAGTAGCACCTTTGGCACGGGGCAGAGCAGGTCACCATGTGGTGGTCAGGTGGCACAACATGAAAACAAGCCCGACGCTTATGGCGGTGCTATTATGGAGCCAACCTTGCTGGCGAACCTTGCTTGACCTGGGATACAGCTGAAAGTCTAAGAACTTACTGGACCAAACAGGAACAATGTGTCATCCATGAGTAACAGCTGAATGGCAATTCAGAGATGCACCTGCTTTCTGCTGTTTCTTCTTCTTTGCCTTGCTTTTCTTTTGCTTTTTCGTGCCTTTATTACGGCCTGGCTTTTTTTTCTTGTTTTCCTCTTTATACCATGGTCCCCAGACTCCTCCATTGAGCCGAGGGTTACTTCTGGGGTCTTTGGGTGGGTACCTGACAGGCACAGCTGTTTTGTTGAACTGTGAGAGCCTCCGGAGGAGTTGCTTGACAATTCCAGGATACCTGCTAGATAGGTCCACTCTCTCATAGGGGTCAGCTGTGATGTTGAAAAGCCATATGCTTTTGCCAGTTGACAACGTGATCCGTTCATTGTGCCACCGGTTTGGCCCCAGGTTGCTGAAAGATTGAGGAGGAACCCAGTCACTGTAGCCAGGATTTCCCGTTAGCAGTTTCCAGTGCTGCACCCTGATGGCTGACTGTATTGCAGTGTTCCAGATCCCATAGCCTGCTGCCCAGGAGCCATTTTTGGCCTTGGTGTAAATGGGGTCAATGTTGTGCAAAATATCCACTCGGGGTGAGCGAAGGCCTTCACTTATGGTCTCCCAGATATCATAGCCATCCAGTTGTATGTCCTCATCAATCTGTCCCTCAGCCAGGGAAATCAGAGTGGGGTACCAGTCAGTGATGTGCACAAGCTCCTTGCATACTGTTCCCTTGTTTTTCAGAAGTGGACTATGCACAAAGCCAACAGCCCGAATCCCCCCTTCCCAGTATGTTCCTTTGCTTCCTCTGAGAGGCCAGTTACTTCCTCCTGCCGTGGGTTGGCCACCATTATCTGAAGAGTAAATGAGAATGCTGTTGTTATAGAAACCATAGGTCTTCAGGGCCAGGGTCACGTTGCTGACTGCTTCATCCAAGCAGGAAAGCATGGCAGCATACCTCCGCCTGTTTATGTTAATAATGGATCGGTAGTGTTCAAAATACCTGCCTGGTGCTTGCAATGGTGAGTGAACGGCTTGGTAGGCAATATATAAAAAGATAGGCTTTGTGGGGTTATGGGAAGCTAAAATTTGCTGTACTCTCTGAGTGTACATCTGTGTGGAGTATATACCATTATCGTGGTCCCAGGCAGCACTGTCATTTTCATACAAGTCATAGCCACACATCCCAGGACTGTCACATTTGTAGTGTGTATAGTAGTCACCACTTCCCAAGAGGGAACCAAAGAAGGTATCAAATCCTCTCTTAGTGGGCATGCATTCTTTTCTATAAAAACCCAAGTGCCATTTCCCAACCATATGTGTGGAATATCCAACCTCCTTCAGCTTCTGAGGTAGGGTTGCGTTGTCCAGAGGTAAACAGTTGGGTTGGGTAGGTCTTATGATAGAATGTTGAAGTCCCGTGTGTATCTGATACCTCGGAAAAAGGTATAAATTTTGTCAGGGCAGGATACAAGAGAGATTCTATGTAAAACAGTGATGCCTAAACTAAATGTTTATATGAAGATAACATTACCCCAAATAACTTATGATCAATTTAACATTTCTACTCTCAACTCAAATGTCTTAACCTAACTAGCTCCATGTTTAACTTCTGAAATACATATGAATCTAAAACAGTATTTCTAAAACTAAGGTTTCATCATCTATCTCAAAATCTTTTTAATTCTTTTACCAGAATTTATTTGAATAAATTTTAATTCATTAATTACATGACAGGGAAATAAACAAGGACATACAGCACCACAGTATTATTGTTTTCAGCTTATACAGCTCTGATTATTTCCTAAATTAATTCCTGAGATCATTTATTTCAAGCTAATTCTGAAGTACTACAAATACATGCAAAAATAATATAAAAATTCTTCAATTCGTTAGGTTGTCAAAAAATATTTCATATTTAGTCCTAAACCTATTACATCTCTGAAAAGTCTTCTTATCAATGTGTTTTCAGAAAACACAGTATTAGTTTAATTAAATTTAGAGTAAATATTTTAGTTAGTGCTAAGGACTGTATTTTTTTCCAAAAGTAGCAGGAAATCAGTGTCTCCCTCCCCTTTTAAATTACAATTATTTATAGGCTAAGGAAACATGGAAATCATATGTTTATGTTAAAATTAAATAAATGCCAATTTCTGGGATTTTTCCCCCAAAGTTACTTTTCCAAAGGCTTTATTGCACAAATAGTTACTACTATCATATAAGTGTGTGAATTTTCACTTGGATCAAGATGTGTCAGTTTGATTCATGACATTTTAAAAGTGATCATTACACACTGTATGCATGGATACAATTATCATAGTGCATGCTGTAAATGTGTATAAACGGAATAAACGCATGACTCTGGGTGGGGGATGTTGTCAACAGGGAAGGCTATGTATGTGTTGGGGGGAAAGATTTAAGGGAATCTGTCCATACTGCTCAATTTTGCTGCGCATCCAAAATTGGTTAAAATAATACTCTGTTTAAATAATTCCAGAAAGATGTTTTAAAAAGAAAATACAGAAATTTGAAGAAAATGAAGGTTATAAAAATTGCTAAGGATATTCTTGGAATAAAATTATAACATTTGGTTATAGTAACATTTGGTTCAAATATATTTTTCACAGTATATTAACCTTAAAGATCAACATATTATGGGGCTGGTGCTGTGGCATATCGGGTAAAGCTTCTGCCTGCAGTGGTGGCATCCCATATGGGTGCCTATTCAAGTCCTGGCTGCTGCACTTCTGATCCAGCTCTCTGCTTAAGACCTGGGAAAGCAGTGGAAGATGGCCCAAGTCTTTGAGCCCCTGCATCCATATGGGAGGCCCGGAAGAAGCTCCTGGCTCCTGGCTTTGGATCAGCACAGTTTCAGCCTTTGAGGCCATTTGAGAAGTGAAACAGTGGTTGAAAGACTTCTCTCTCTCTCTCTGCCTTTCCTTCTCTGTGTAACTGACTTTCAAATAAATAAATAAATCTTAAAAAAAAAACAACATATTATACAAATGTTAGGTGAATAATTCAGTATGATTTTTAACTTTTAAAAATTTGTTTAAAATTTATTATTTATTTATTTATTTGAGAGACAGGAAGAAATAGAGAGAGTAAGAGAGAGCAAGCTTCCATCCACTGGTTCATTCCACCAAATGTCCAGACTGACTGGGGCTGGGCCAGAAGTGAAGCCATGAATACAATCCAGTTCTCCCTTACGGGTTGTAGGAAACCAATTACTTGAGTCATTATGCTTTCTTTCCCAGAATTTGCATTAGCAGGAATCTGGAGTCAAGAGCCTGAGGTAGGAATTGATCCCAGATACTCTCCAATATGGGAGGCAGGCATATTAACTGCTAGGCTAGGCTCCCTAACTTGTTACTATAGGTTCCAGTGGTAGTATAATGCAATGGTAAGTTCTTTTGTAGTGTAAATTACACAAATGGTTTGTGGTATATGGTCACACACTAATGGTTTTGTAGTATCTGGTCACTACTATATAGCAGAATTCACATGGGTACTATCAGATGTCAACATTCACAATAGTCACAGTTTTAGCAATTTAACATGTAATAAACTTTCAAAAATAATTTCAAAAGTACTACATATCAAACACCAAATTCAAAAGGCACTGTTGCTGTCTTTGATCATTTTTGATCCAGTTCAGGATCCAAAACATTGATTTGTAAAACCACTAATTTTGTAAAAGTACATGGCAACTTGGTAACACCTATCAATGTAAATTTGGAAGAAATTGAAAAGGGATAAATCTCTATGGGTGAAAATTTGGGGAGGATTCAAGGGGATGGATTACTAACTAATAATTATCTCACATGGAAAATCTATTTCAGTGAACAAAGTTATCTATTCAATTCATTGAAAGGTTTACCACTTCAAGCCTTTCTAATCAAATTGATCATTTTCTCATATAGTGGTAAAAACAAATAGAGGTTTATAAAACTAATATACAGGAAATAGGAAAATACAGAAAAAAAGGTTTTGCTGCTTACAGAAAACTGTATAGTGTTAGCAGATAAATAAGAGTTCATAGCTATGAATCAACTATGTTTCTCCAGAAAGTTGAATGGCTTTTATATTGGCAAACTTAGAACCAATAGCACACAACTTGGCAGAGGTTTTCAGGGCAGATGTTGCTTAAAAATAGTTGGAACTTCTAGAGCCAAATAGGAGGAAGTCTGGGGTAAAATTTGGGTGTGGCCTAGGAGTATAGGTTTTGGAATCAGATACATCTGGGCCTGAATTTGCTCCATTGTTTATTTTCTGTGTGGCTTTGGGCAATACTTAATCCCTTTGATCCTGAGTCTCCTGTCACATAGGGATAATGATACTGGAATTTTGTGAGCACCGGAACAGAGAAAAATCTAGTAAGAAAAGTATTCCCAATAAATGATAGCTTTTACTATTATTACTCCAGAATGCTGGATCTCATATTACTAATAGACTTTCTCTCATAGGTATTATTCTATATAATACTCACTACAATGATGAGAAGTGAAACTCTTTATGTCTGGAGGGTTGGTGTTGTGGTAACAGATAAAGCCACCACCTATGACGCCAGGATCCTATGTGGGTGCCAGTTCATGTCCTGGCTGTTCCACTTCCAATCCAGCTCCCTGCTAATGGCCTGGGAAGCAACAAAGGCTGGCCCAAGTGCTTAGGCCCCTGCTACACTCATGGGAGACTTGGAAGAAGTTCCTGGATCCTAGCTTTGGCTTGGCCCAGTACTGGATGTTCTGTGGGTGAAAGATGTCTCTTTGTTTCTCCCTCTCTCTCTAATTCTGACTTTCAAATAGATAAAGAAATCTTTAAAAGAAAAAAAAACTCTTTATATCCATTTTACAGATGTGCAAATAGAGATGTACAGAAGTTGTTGTATCCTTTACAACCTCTCCACCAGTCCCAAGAGGCTGTGAAATTGGTTCTCGAACCTGTGGTGCCAACTCTGATACTCTATCTGTTCCTTCTTTCTAAAAGTTAACACTAGTATTTCTGGAAGAATCAAGGAGCAGAGGAAAGATGCCAGAGGTCTTGAAGAGTTTTTTGTTGTTGTTGTTCTAACTTTCCAGTAAAACTGGGGAATGAAGCTTACCTTAATCACAGAAAAGGTTGAGAATTGTTTACTTTTTTTTTTTTTTTAGTGAATGCTGTGAGAGCATTTCAAAAGGAGAAAATTAGAGTCAAAAAGAAAAAGCCATGAAGTTAGTTTCATCTTCTTTTTAAAAATTTTTCTTAAAATATTTCTGATTAGTATGTAATACTTATTCATTTGATTGGAGTATGGTGCAATATTATACAACACACACACACACACACACACACACACTGTGCAAAATGATCAAGCCAAGCAACTAGCTTTCCCATTTCCTTATCCTGTCTTCCTTTCTTTGTGCTTGAAGCTTATTAGTTCCTCACTTCCTATTCTTTTTACAGATTCTTTATACATATTAACAACCAGCATTGGGTAAAATAGCTTAGGAAAGATCACATATGAAATATCTGCTCATAATTCCTAAAAATAATGGAAAATCAACTGTATGATAGCACTACAATTGAGAATAAGGATGATAATCTTTAACACCAGTTAATGCAATACAGAAAATGTTCATTTATATGCTCATCTCTGGCCTACACCAATCTGTGGAGCAGGTGGTGGTATTCCATTTATATGAAAAACAAAGAAAAACAAAACAAACAGAATAATTTAATTGCACACATAAGTTTTAGTTATAAATCCTGAGGTTGTACACTGGAATTGAGATTTTTGTTTTGCACACTCTTCCATTTCAGCTAGTTGAATAGCTGGATCAATTTTAAAGTTTGGATTAACTTATTTTTTTGCCACAGTGTCTTAGCTTTCCATGCCTGAAATACTCTCATGGGCTTTTTAGCCATATCCAAATGCCTTAAGGGCTGATTCTGAGGCCAGAGTTCTGTTTAGGACATCTGCCATTCTATGAGTCTGCTGTGTATCCTGCTTCTCATGTTGGATTGTTCTCTCCTTTTTAATTCTATCAGTTATTATTAGCAGACCCTAGTCTTGTTTATGTGTTCCCTTTGACACTTAATCCCATCATTATGATCAATTATGAACTTAAACTGATCACTTTAACAAGATGACATTGGTACATGCCACCTTGATGGGATTGAATTGGAATCTCCTGGCATGTTTCTAACTCTACCATTAGGGTTAAGTGCAAGTGAGCATGTGCCGAACTGTACATTTCCTCTTCCCTCTCTTATTCCCACTCTTATATTTAAAAGGGATCACTTTTCAGTTAAATTTAAACACCTAAGAATAATTGTGGGTTAATTAAAGAGTTCAACCAATGGTATTAAGTAGAATAAAAAAATACTAAAAGGAATAAAGTAGTAAGTTGTTCCTCGACAGTCAGGACAAGGGTTGATCAAGTCATTGTTTCTCAT